TCATACAGTACAAAAATTTTTTTTTAAATGAAATTTTTAGAAGAATGTGAAAAATTGTATGAACAGTAATTTATTTATTTTAAAAGTAATAAATTATCGATAAGTAAACACATGTTTATAAATACATATAAAAAATGCTCTGCTATTATATACTCATTTCCAAATTTTAGAAAAAAATATATACCTAAACAATATGTTTCAATAAATAAATTATCAATTTTTTTAATGTATAGTTTACCCAATGAATTAATACACAGTAATTAAAAATTTACATTTGAAATAAGTTACGAACTGTAAGATAACATAAAGTAATCGGATTTTTTGTATCAGGACCGCTGATAGAAAAGATAAAATTCAAAATGTTTGCTGTAGTGTGGTGTGGTGGCGTTATGTAGTGTACAGAAAACCGGAAGTACACCATGGGGGGTGTGGCAAAGGGGGGAGAATAAAGCCAAATTCACGGGAAAGTTTTTCTCAAGGTCACCAATCTGAAATTGTTGGTTTACTCTGTAGGGCAGAACGCGCCAATAGAAGTGTAACTTCAAAAACTTTACCGTTTTTATACTTTCATCTTAGAACCTTTTGAGGCTACAGATTTGTTAGGAAGAATATTATTTACTGTCAGTGTTTAAAGGCTTCAAAAATTCCTTACAAAATATTAACTCAACTCGTTAAACTTACATTCCGCTTTTGTTTTGTTAAAAGCTAAAAGTACTTCTAAAATTGTTGAATAATCGTACCACATGCTGTTTACTTTGTGTGCACGGACAAAATAGTTAGGTTAAATTTAACCATAAAAGCAACGGTAACGTTGAGACGCTTATGCCAGGTACCTTATTTTTTATATACGTGCCAAGTATATATTACTGCCATTTATGGTAATGTTTTTAGTGTACATAGAATTTATCGGGATTCATCTATAAATTTTACTGTAGGCTACAGTAATTTTTTCCTTGCTGGAAATCCTGACTGATATAGAAGGTTGGTATAGTAGGGACCTCGTCGTACTTATTAGCTGCTACAATAACTCTACCATACCAACCTCCGATATCAGTCAGGATTTCCAGCAGGGAAAAAATTACCTTAGCCTACTGTAAAATTTATGGATGAATCCTGATAAATTCTATGTACACTAAAAAATTTACCGTAAATGGCAGTAAAACTTACTTGGCACGTATATAAAAAATATGGTATCCGGGATAGCGTCCCAACTTTACCGTTGCTTTAATTTAACCTAACTCTATTGTCCATGTGTAGTAGTATTGAAAAAATCTCAATACCGTTACATTTTAGCATGCTTTTTACTAACGTAAAAAATATAATTTATAAATGATACCAATAATCACGAAGCATTACATGTTGACAATATATATATTCATAGCGAAAAAAAGTTTTGTGTTCTCAAAAGTGTAAACTTAAGGGGGTTAGAGCGGTACAACCAGTCTCCAAAGTTAATTCAAATTAAAAATTATTGTATTTTATGACTATTCTTGATAAATAATGCGAGCTATTTCATATCGTACAGCAGAAGATTACTAACAAGTGAGAAAATATAAAATTAATACTTCAAAATCGAATTTATGCTCCATGTTTTATTTTTCATCTGCTGTATATAGATGTACCAATAGCATTTTCGTAAAATTTTTAATTAAAGTATTTCTTAAATCGTGACGGCTTGCTTCCTCAAATTTGGATGTGTTATTTTAATTGTTACTTACAATTACATGCTAGTTTTTTGAAAGAATTGTAAAAATATTTTCTAAGTTGTTGGTAAAAATGTACATGTCACGACGACGTTCTAATAAGATTCTGTGTGTAAGATACTAAGTTTGCTATTTGTTTTTCTCAAAACCTGTGACGCTACGGTTCCTGAAATTTCAATATGTTGGTAACGTAATGAAAACAATCGCATTGGGCAAAACATTCATAAAATAATGTACATAAATTAAACGTAAAAATATGTAAGTATCTAGTTAAAAGCATTAATACTGTTACACTTTGTTTACGGGTTCTATTTAATCCACCATTGTAAGTACAAGTATATTGTAGTTGGTTATCTGTGTTTTTTCACTTATCACAGCAATTTATTACTTTATAAGAAGCTGCAAATAGATAACTGCGTGGTTTTCAAAAGATCAGAAATTATTAAAATTTTGTTTCCAGTTTTGGAGTTTAATGCACACAATATAAAAAACGACCTAAGTTTAGAATATTTTCATCTTCAAAAAACTTCTTTGGCATATCACATATACACATTTAGTTAAATCGGAAAAATAAATTAAATAAGACATTTTTCGAGATTGATACGTTAATCTTGCGATAAATTCAAACTTATATCTTGCAGTGCAAAAAGATATATCCTTCATTTACCAGTGCAGTAGTAGTAGTAGTGGTCCATATAAGGTTAAATGTAATACTATCTGATGAAGATATTTAAAAAAAAATTTAATAACGGGAGGCAATGTTTCTTAGTCGAGTGATAGCCGAGCTTAATTTAAATTAAAATAAAATAATAACGAATATAAAGTTTTTTGTATAAGAAAAAAAAATTTTTCGAAGCACTTTGTTGTTTCAAATTAATAGAAGTTATCAATTTAAAAGTTTTGAAATGTATTTTTTAGTACGCAAGAAGTTTTGTAAGCCATATGTATGAGAGATTCTTGCACGTCTTTTGATAAAATCGCAAAACAAATTTTATATCTGTGCAGAGAAAATTAGTATTTTTCGTACAGTTTAACTTGAAGAAAATTTTGTTTCATACATAATGAGCAAAAAATTTATTTTTCGTTCCTCTGGTTATTTTTTACGACATTTGGACGTTCACAGCAGTCTGACCTGCCAAAATAGTATTTCTTACATAAGCGTTATTAAATGGTTAGAGAGACCGCAAAATAGTTCCAGTACCATGGTGTAAGAATAGACAGGTGGGCCGAAGGCCTACCTCAACGCATTGTAAAAAAAGTTCAAATTTTGTCGCAGTACCGATACTAGCCACCAGAGGGATCCGTGTCGTGCAGGCCATTGATAGTATGAAAATTTTTTTTTTCTTTTTTCTTTTTTTTTTTTTATATAGTCATACTGACCATTATAAAAACTGCCTCTACTACTCGAAACCACCTAGCGGATTTTAGATGTACTGCGACACAAATTGGACTCGATAGAGGCGGGCCTTCGGCCCACCTGTCTATTCTTACACCATGTCCAGTACCGATGGTGCCTCTATAGAGTGGTGCCCCTCCCTCATATATGAGCCGAGGCAAATGTTGTGCCCTCTCTACCCAAAATGAGGCCACAATTCTTGCATGTAAACAAACGGCTTGGAGCATATATATACATGTGTATAGCTGTTTGTAATTGGCTCTTGGCGCGTTCATTAGCAGGCTAGAGAGTGAATAGAGAGTGAACGACGATACCCACCTGCTGTCTCCTTCAGACAATCACAAGAGCAGCTATACGCATGTATACATGCTCTTAACCGTTTGCAATAATTTTCGCCCAATTTGCATCGGCTCAGAGCAATAGTGTAGGAGAACCATACTATTGCTAACTGGTGTCATGCTTATCAAACATAAGCTAGCCACTTATGTGGTCAACTGGCACTCGTTCCCAGCAGCTGCAACCACTCCAGTAAATCTATATTAGATACTACTCATGTTAAAAATTGTGTTTTTTGTACTTGATATGCTAACAAATATTACAGATTTCTTACATTTCATTTTTTTCTCTGACCTTAAATTAGGTCTGCTAACAACAAGACCTCTCGAAAAAATTAACTCAATATCGTTATGTGGCTGTATATTTTTACTTTTGCAATATTATTTACGTTACAATCATACATTTATTTCAATTAATCACCTCTCATGTAATAGTTAAAATTAAGTATTGAAAAGATCTTTATTAACTTACGAGTCATCGTAGCCACCTCCACCTATTATCTCGAGATCTGAACAGTTTTTTGCATGTTTAATATAGCTGGAAATTCGTTTAAAAGCTGCGCCATCTATAACTGCTCCAAGAAAAACAGAAAAATCTCTTGGATCCCCCATTTTCAATTGATTTCTAATTTCTAAAAGTCCCGCTTTAATCTAAAGAAAAAAAAATTATAAATACCAATAAATATATATAAGTAAAAATTATTATACCTGCACGATATGACGACTAAACCGTTAATTGTTATCCATATTACCTTGCTCCATAAGGATTCTGGAACGTACATTCGACTGCATGCTGAACACTTTTGGCCATTGTATTCGAAAGCACTACGAATTGTGCTGTTAACCACTGATTGTACATCCGCAGTAGGGTGAATAAAATGAAAGTTTTTGCCACCACACTCCCCGATGAGTTTTGGGTAATTTCTATAGTTGTTCACGTTATTTCCAACTTGAGTCCAAAGTCGGTTATAGGTGGGTACAGAACCAGTAAAGTTTATGCCAGAAAGATAAGGAGAGGCTGTAATAGTGTCTCCAAAATCTGGACCATGAGCAGGAACAAAGTTGACGACCCCTTCTGGCACGCCAGCTTCACGACAAATTTTGTAAATCCACCAGTTAGATAAAATAGCAGTGTCGGATGGTTTCCATAAAACTGAATTACCCTACGAAAATTACTTGCCATTCAGTGATTCTAGTAGACAGTACTGAATATTATATTAAAGAGTAAATAAAAGTAAAATAATGAAGCTACTATTTCTAAACTATAGGTGATAAAAAAGTCCAACAAAATTCTATGAAACTTTAATAACGTAATCTCAAAATGTCTTACAATTAATCGCATATACATATGTTGAAATAAAAATGAGGATAAACAATTTATATTGTATGGATCAAGAATAATGAGAAGAAGCAAGCGATGACTTAAAGCCTTACTAGCTAATAAATTTAAGAAAAACTTTACAGCTTTACGTTGATATTCTTAAAACAACCAGTCTCCAAAGTTAATTCAAATTAAAAATTATTGTATTTTATGACTATTCTTGATAAATAATGCGAGCTATTTCATATCGTACAGCAGANTTGTAGAATTTAGTCAAAATATTGTTATATCAATACAATATTTTTATATTCTGCAATAATCTGGTAGTAAGTACTTGGCATGTGAAGCGCATAGGGACGCGCAGCTCTACTAGTGTATGTGTGTAGGTGAGATATAAAATGAATTTGAGAATTGTATGATAAAATAAGTTGTTATTCTATTCAACAATACTAAAACATCTTAAAATACGTCTGAAAACTTTTACGATGTCTTTAAAAAAAATAGAAGTAATGTTGTGTTTCTATTCCTTATAAAGAGTTAATATTTAATAAAATTTTCAGCATATTATTGCAATATTTTTTCTTATATCACTGCAATATTTTTGTAATAAACTTTGGTAGGTCAGTTTATGCTCTATCATCATTGCAGCCATCATAACGTGAAATATTTTTGCGATTTTTCAATGTAACTGCAAGTATTGTGGCAACTTGAAATGCTTTGAGGAAATGACAAGGGATATTCTTCATTTGTTTCTAGCTCATAATATGTATGAAACCAGCCAGTAGCTTTTAAAGCAGGAATTTTTTATTTCATTATTATTTATAAAACTTTAATGTTAGCGTTTTTACTACCAAAACCAATTGATAAGATGCGAACCATCAGAGCTGGCGTATAGCTAAGGTTACCACCAATAGCAGTAAAATTAAATGGAGACACAGCAGCCACAAAACCATCCATTCCTCGATACCTCATCGAGTTTAGAGTCTCTTTAGGATTTGTTGATATGGGTTTATACTTAAGGGCCTCTGTAACGAAATAAACGTTCATTTTGAAAAAATCAACAAGTTCAGCAGCACTGTCGATCTCCGCTTGTATTGCTGTTTTTCCTTGGCCAAGCATTGTTGCCGCATTTAATTGCTGCCTATACTTTGTAGCCATTAATTCAGCTGCTTTCCACCAAATATCTAAGCGCTTTTCAAAAGAGACTTTTTCCCACTCTCTTTGAGTCTTCACAGCGACGTTGATTGCCTGTCTTATCAGATCTGGCGTTGCATAATAATATTTGGCAATCTTGTGCTGATGATTGTGAGGCTAAAAATTTTAATAAATCTGATTACCTTCAAATACATGATTTACGTTTTTTATTAGAGGAAACACGGAATTTAGACTTTTTGGTCTTGACAGCAGATTTTTGTTGTGCCCTTATAAAGAAAATTATTTAATATTAGAATACTTCCTTACAGGGCAAAATACAAAAGATCTTGTACTCCTGTGTCTGCTCTGATAGATACGACACTTCAGAGCCAAAAAATAATAGTATTATTACTTTGAAATGACAGTAACGACAATAATATTTTTTCCCGAGATAATCATTCCTTACCATTACTTGATACTTCACAATTTCTGTTGTTATTTCTTTACCACCAATTATTAAGGGAATTTCTTCGCAATCTCTAGCCATTTCATCCAAAGTATTTTTTAAATCTGAATTTTCTTTGCTGCCCTTCCTATAGCTTAAAATAGGCTCATTTACTAACGGGTAATCTTTGAGATTCAAAACTGGTACGACGCTTCCAATACATCTTAGGTGGATTCTGCAATTTTTAAAAACTTATAGAATTGTGAAAAATCTACTCTCTACAAAAAAATAAATAAAATTCTGTAAAAAAAAAGGTGTTTTTAGTATAATATTTAACATAAAAAGGGCAGCTTAAATGATGTCATATGTACCTCTAAATATTGATTCTATAACTTGTAACAAAGAAGTGCTGACAGTGATGCTAAACAAAGTTAACTATGCAGTTTTGTCGTAATTAAGGTGGCATTTTTTAGTGCAAGCGGTACTTCAAGTGGCTCCTCACACCTGTACTACCTACTTTTGTAATATTAGACTATCACATCTAAAAACATCGGGTAATAAAGTAATCATAGTTCAAGTAGTCCCTTTATTTAAATATACAATTACCCAATTAATAAAAAAATCGTACAATATATATTGCTTGCCAAACCTACATTTTCTTAGTACCATAGAAAAGCTTATGATCTCTTTTTTCAGTACCTAGTTTTATCATGAAAGTAAATGTATAATTTGGAAAATATTGTATCAAATAATATTAAGAATAAATTACTTTCTATAAAAGAACGTAAAACATAAATTTTGTAGGTGATTCATTTTGGAAAAAAATTACCTGGCAAAATAGTTTGAAATTTTTTGAGATTATATCCAGTTAAAATTTAAGTATTATTCCTATAAGTCTCATTTCTACTGAAAGTATTTCGATTTTGTAATAAGCCACCTCAAAAAATTATTTCTGTCTTAATTTTTCTGGTATTTTCAGGAGAAAGCAAGTTAATAAGAAAATCAGGTATGGGTCTCGGGACCCCAAGCAGAAGTGAAACTTCCAACTCAAATGTTTTTAAGCTTGGTATAAGAGAAACTGAGAAAGTTAGATTACACCTTATTTCAATAGATCCTTAAGAATACGATATTAAAATGGTAAAAATTTTATTATTATCACGTATTTGAGCACGCTCGTGCATAAAATACACATACTTGTGTTACATGCGACGCATGTTACACGCATTTCAAGTATTTTCATGTTTGCTATAATATATGTTTTAATATATGTACGAATTTTTGGTCATGTAATGCAGAAAATAACAAAAATTTTTACCATGGTGCACCGAAAAAAGGTACTTTTGTCTAGTTATGTGGGACAAAAAATATTTTTATATAACATTTTTAATTCGTGCATTTGAAATATCATATACTTGCAATCAATTCTTGTTGAAATCATTGTATCCGACAAATTGTTATAAATTTTGGCTCCCATAAAAGTAAAATAATTCACTCTATCTTATTAAAATCAAGGAAAACAATTGACATATAGCTATTTTTCATTGTATAGTTGTAATTTGTTATTCAATTGGTTTTCTATGACTATTTATAATTTAATCTTAAAATTCACCCGTCCTTAACTAATTTCTATGATTCTTAAAATAAATAATAAGAGTATAGGTTTTGGGTCACGTGATAATTATTCTTATAATATATGATAGAGAATAGAAGATTAGTCGATTTATAGATAGAATATGTAGGATGTAGCTTATAGCCTTTGAGATATGACTCATTATCTTTAGAATTGTTACGATTGATTAAATGAATCCGTGTAACATATATTTTTGCTTTTCAATAATTATTTTCTATACGTGGGATTATTTTTGACCTATCTGGCTACTCTTTTGACGACTGTTTTTTTAACTTTGAGAGGTTATGTTGTAACAGAAAATCTTCGAAGGTTTTGTTAACATTCGTAATAATGTTGTGAACATGCCATACTAAATAAAAAAATGTTTTTTTACTTGTTCTTTTCAAGATACAGTCGAAAAAGGAAATAGTTAAGACTAAGTTTGTGCATACTCAAACCTCTTGATATTTTTGCATCTCGATTATATAGTTCCCTTTTAGGAGGACAATTTTGCTTCTCTTTTAAAATACAGCTTAAACAAACCACTTAACTTTATAGTAATGCAAATAAAAAGAATTACCTTCTAATATTTAATTACCTTAAAGAATTTACAAACGTACCTTTCTTACCCCAAAAGTCAATCACCTAAATCGAGGTACATTTTTTATTTCTGCGCAAGTGTAGATGGCAAAATTTTACTTTTGCGCATGAGTAGATGGCACAAATACTGTGGTTGAGTATTGGTACCTGCTTAAGTATTGGGTCCTTTACCTTATCAACCTAAAAATAATTGTGTTAGTTGGTATCACTGCTGCAGGTATATGTGCGAACACCATGGTATATGTATATGTGTAACTGTCGAAACTGTGTGCTAATACAACTGGAATACAACGACTCAATGAACTTTACGGAATATCTCGAATTTTCTTAGGGTTACCTATATTTTGCAAGGTACCATCTAAAAGCTAAGATTTTTTTCCATAAAACAGTTTCTGTCGTAATATGTCACACCTACATTATGGTTCGAAAATTAAGATGTATTTATGTTACTGCATAAGAGGTTGTGTATAATGTGCGAACCTTAAGAGCCAATAACTCGAAATTTTTCACGGTTAGAGGGCTAAATAAAGACACCACTTGATTTATTGGGTTCTTATCTATCAATTAAGCCACCTACGACTTTTTTTAGTTTCTCCCGCTGAAACCCTCTTGAGGTACTTAGCACTTGGGATTAGGAAGGAATTGGGATTAGATTGGAAGGGGGAAGGGCACTTATAACTACTACGCATTGGTCTATGACGTTTGTCATGTGGACCAGGAAAACTATGGAAAATGTCCCGTAGGAAAAACTTGATCCGAAACAGCTCGGTTTATCTGCCTTATTTCTGACCTAAGGTAAAGTACCCAGTAGTTGAACACTTTTGACAGTCAAATTTTGTTTGCTGATTTATAAAAAACTAACAAAAAAGATGTTCAAAAAAACATTGCATTAATTATTTAAAATTTTTTGTATTTATTAGAAAAAAAATAAAAAATGTCAGGTTACTAAACAAAGAAAAAATTAATATCAAAGAAAAATTATCAAGACCTAGTATCTGGACACCAGTGTCCAGGTACTAGGACCAACATGAGACTTGGGACCAGTAGTTGGATATCCCATATTAATTAAACGGAAACGAGGTTAGGGTGGACCTAACTTCAAAATGCTTTCTCACATCTCTCAACTACTCAATGATTAAAATTTTCTTCACTCCATGGTATAGTTTCTGGTCATCATTTAACTTTATTTTAGTTTTTAACAGTAAAATTAACATGTTAGATTCAGTAATAATCAGTAATTTTAAGTGTTTTTTACTGTCCAAGTACCAAGTATAAGAAAAAACTTATGTTATCGAATGGAAGCTATTCTTGGACAAAGATATTTATATTTCTCGATGTGCTTAACTCTGATAAACTCAATAAAAATTATAACAATGTACATTTTGCAAGGTAACTTTAGTTATAAAATAACTCAAACGTTCTATTTCCAACTATAAATTATAATTTTTAACGATTTTTTCCGTGTCCAAGTACTGAGTATAGGAACACTCCTATGTTATTAAAGGGATCTATGTTTAGCCAGCAATCTTACATGCTTCGCATTTATAACATAATTTTTTTACGTGAAAACGAAAAAGAGTTTGAAAGATACATTTTGTAATCAGGCATTATTATGCATTGATGGATTATAAATAAATTTTTTTTTCCTATTTGAAAACGTCTTCTATTCGAAAATGTTAATTATATTGGACTGTCCAACTACTGGTGCTATTTTTATTTCTGTCCAACTACTGGGTACTTTACCTTAGTGTCTCAGCTGCAGACTTAGACAACGGAGCAGGAATTTGGCATACCTCCCGCTCACATTGTTGAAGAGATAGAGAAAAAGTCAATCGATCTACGAAGCGGACAGCAAAGGTGGAAACTGCGAGACTCGAACGGTCACCCTTCAAGGTACTAACTGAGCCAAATGCCGCTTAACTTCGGTGATCGACGGGACTGAAATTCCATCGCTGAGCCATCGTGTCGGTAATATGTACATGTATATCAGCGCAGAGCAGAAGCAGCTCACTGCAGAATGGTAGGGGAAAGAGAGAGAGAGAGAGAGAGAGAGAGAGCAATAACTGTGTGTATGTGTTATGCATAAGGTAAAAGCACCAGTACGTGAACACTTCCTAAAATTGCACCAGTAGATTGAACAGCTTGAATAAACTATTTTCAATTTAAGTGGATAAAAAAAAAATTTTCTGATATCCTTTGATCGTTCTTTAGATAAAACAAAATTTATATTTCAGTAAATCTTTATACTCAACGAGAAAAAAATTATTTATTCATGCAACTTGTATGAGGTGGCTTGTGAGACTGTTCAGGTACTGGTACCATTAGGTTTTACCTATGCCCAGTACTCGAACACATAAAAACGATTGAAATCACTGTTAATCAATAATAATAGCATGACAAGCCAGTCGTTATAGTTTCCATAATATGTTACCAATGAAATTAGAAATAAATTTTTCGATTTGGTTATTTGCAATACATAATAAAAATTGAAATCAGTAGAAGGCAGCTAACATAACCTCTCTCCCATTTAATTAACATGGGATGTTCAATTACTCGGTCAAAAATACGTATCGGTACCAATACCTGAACACGCTATTCATCTACTCGGTCATTGGTAAAAAAACTTTAAAATTAATTTATTAATTGTACACATGACCTAGAAAAACTTTTTGTTTTTTTTTTTAAAGGAAAAAATATAAACTTACTGGCGCAATGACTGTTTTGTTGTTATGCAAATCAGAAATTTAAGAAAAATGAGAAAACAAAGACTTAATGGAAAAAGTGTTCACGTACTGGTGCTTTTACCTTACGTGCGCACGTGTAGTGCCGTACAGCAGTCGCCATTGTCGACACTCGACATATAGCTTCGAGTATAACTGTGCATAGTGCTTTATATAGGTACATCCTTTCAATTTGTGCACATGCTTGTTACATTTGCTTCAGAATTAAGTATCAATAATCATCAATATTAATCAACTACTTTAGACAGTAGAACTATAGATGCTTTTTTCAATGATTTTTCGATA